GAGCAACACTGAGGGTTGCGATCCCGTTGCCGGTCCTGGTCCGGTACGGGCGCGACACTGAGGGTTGCGATCCGTTGCCGGTCACGAAAAAAAAAAAAAAAAAAAGACAGAACAGCTTGATGGAATATTTTCAGACATTAAAATTATTACGAAGCTGCCTGGTTAGCTCAGTTTGTTAGAGCATGGTGCTGATAACACCAAGGTCCAAGGTCTCATCTCTGTACCAGCCAGCCGCCCCTCCCTCTCACCCCCCAAAAAGAAATTATGGAGACTGTGTGGTCACATTTGCTACGATGTTAAAGGAACAAAGAAAAAAATAAAAATTACTTTAAGATTAAAGAAAGAATATGCTTACAGACAAGGAAAAAGGAAATTTAAAAATGTAGAGTGGGCTTCAAAGTGATTTTTTTGTTTGTTTAGTTCCATTATACTTGTAAAATCTGAAAACAAAACAAAAATAATCTTCAGTTTCTGTTCATGCCCCAGCTTTCAAGGCCCTCTAGAAACCTGTAGAAGGGTCAAGTATCCCATAGGATCCTAATAATGTGCAGCTAAACCTAGAAACATTAACAGGTTGGCCCCATACAATTTTCCCAATGTAATCTTTAGCCAGTCATCTTTTCTGAACTGGTTAATCACCGTCCCAAAACACAGCTTTCCTTATATAATCATTTTCTTGCTCACAACCTTCCATCCAATTAGAATGCCTTCTTTTCCTCTAATTTCACAGGTCAAATCTCACTAACCCTGAAAAGCCTTCAATGACCACTAAACAAATTTCTTTCTCTAAAGCAATTTGTTTCTTTTAAAACTCACAAGATCTGCTTCAATACAAAACTTTGAAAAATCTATTTAATTGGAGCCATTATTTAAATCTTTAAAAAGTTATTTAAATTGCTTAAATCTTTTGAAATAATCATGTAGATTAACTTTCCATATGTTTAATTACGTTTTACTGACAGTAAGCATCTCAAGCACAGATCCTTGTAGAAAAGCCATTAGGCAATCCAGATCTGCTGGAATTCAAATCCTAAAATACGCTGTCATTTTAGTTTAAATTATATGTAAAAGGAAACCATTAACTAACACTCCATGTGGCCATAAAATCAGCAGTGAAATCTAATAGGGCAAAAGACCATACAGAGATTGCAAAGTCTGCTTTGGTTACAAATGGGTAAATTATCTAACTTTCCAAAAAATAATTAACATCTTTAGAAAAGCAGCTACATTCAATATAGCAATCAGTTCCTCTTCTTTACATACACTGACAGTTACAGAAATACCTGCACATTTGAATAAATTCTATCATTTTTCAAAAGAGATATATGTACATAAAATACACACACACACAAGTAACTTGGCCAATCTTGATTACTGAAGGGCAGTTAAATAAAATTACATACCAGAAAAAGAATTTTCAACACAGATATCAGATCCAGGTCTTTTAAAAGTGGAACACCTTGCTTCACTTTCCCACAAAATCAGTCTTATTCTGAAAGACAAAAGCTTCTTTTAATTTTGAATATGTTATAGCTCAGACATTCAAAACACAGGCTGTCCTTAAGAAGAAAATTTACTTCCCTATTAAACACTCTCACTGATAAGCACTCTTTATTGTGTCAAGTTTTTACAGAGGGTGAAGGAAAAAAGAAAATCATGAAAATGTTCATAATGTTCCATGATAAAAATATTAAGTACTGATGGGCCGGCCCGGTGGCGCACTGCTGTAGTGCGCCGCTTGGGAAGCGTGGTGGCGCTCCCGCCGAGGGTTCGGATCCCACATACAGACCGGCCGCTCACTGGCTGAGCGAGGGGCGGGAGCAACACAGAGGGTTGCGATCCCGTGGCCGGTCCAGGTCCGGTACGGGTGTGACACTGAGGGTTGCGATCCATTGCCGGTCACGAAAAAAGACAAAAAAGAAAAAAAAAAAAAAATTAAGTACTGAAAAATCCAGAAATGGGAACCATATAAATGGGTAAAGAAATCCACAAGGATGTCCTAATTTTGAGATTTCAGTCTGAAATACCACAATGGAAAGCTAGTTATACATCCTCATTTGAATCTTTGACCAAACAAAACACTATCCTTTCAAAATAGCTTTATATAATAAAAAACATTATTAAAAATTTGACAATTTTGATTTTGTAGGAAATATTACATTAGTTTGGGCCCATTGAAATAGGTTACAAAAATACAGTTCTATCATAATTTCTTTCATTTAAGCCTAAGAGATGCTTTAATAACTAGATCATAAAATCCCTAAAAAGGAATGGGAATAAAAAAAGTCTTGAGAAATTAGTTCTTCGATACATTCTCAATGGGTCCTCTAAATTTACATTTTATTAGCAACTGCAAACCAACCCATTAATAATAAATTATTTGGAATATTAGAAAATTTGAAGGTTAAGATAGTATCTGTGGAATATCCTTAATTTTCAGAGCAGAATTACTGTCAAAAAAAGTAAATTAGCTTATTTCTCATTTTGTATACAAATGTGCATCAATTCATAAGAAATATTTACAGAGCACCTATCATGTACGAAGGTAAGAGAACATAATAGTGATTAAAACAGTTGCTATTTCCTGGGAAGTCTCAAACTGAGAAAGAGTCAAACAGTTGCAAATAAAGTGTGGCTAGAGGCATGTGAAGAGTCCTACAAGGCTAAGAAAGCACTGAGGAAATGTTCATAAGGACAGTAAACTTTAGGGAAAGCTGCAGGGAAACACAAAGGAGTTAAATTCAATTAACTACACCATAAAAGCAATTTGTTCTTAGTATTCCCTAAAAGTCACTTCTGTGAGAAATGTTTCACTGTACACAAATACTCAACTATTCTAAAATGAAAAATAAATTAATTTAAAAAATTCACTCCTAAGTTCCCAGAAAAACTCTCAAACTTATTTTACTGTGTGTAACTTAAAGACTGTGATAATTCTACTTGAACAGAGATACAAGAGGATTCAAAAATAAAGCTAAAGAAAAAAGAAATAATTAGGGGTAAAAGGTAACAAGAAGAAAAAGGACAACAAATATAAGTGCAGTAAGAGAAAAAGATTTTTTTTTCCTTTTTGTCTTTTTTCGTGTCCGGCAACGGATCGCAACCCGCAGTGTCGCGCCCGTACCGGACCGGGACCGGCAACGGGATCGCAACCCTCGGTGTTGCGCCCGCATCTCCCTCAGCCAGTGAGCGGGAACCGGTCTGTATGTGGGATCCAAACCCTCGGCGGGAGCGCCACTGCGCTCCCAAGCGGCGCACTGTAGCAGTGCGCCACCGGGCCGGCCCAGAGAAAAAGATTTCTAATGGACAATTGTGCAAGTATCAAAAGCCTTAAATGTATAATCCCTTTAGCCTTACATTTCTACTTCTGGGAATTTATTCCACAGAAATAATCAGAGATGTGGAAAAAGATCTAGACTACAATTTTTAGCCACTGATGTCAGTTCTTAGGCACAATATTTTACAAAACATGTACACAGATATTCACCAACATGTTTTTGCTACTATAAAAAAATAAACAGAACAGGATGTATAAATTATGGCACATCTATCCTATAAAATATTATGAAGCCCTGAAAGCAGCTTTATGGACAAAATACTTCTTTTGTTCCCAAAGAATTCCATAAAGAAAAAAAAAAAACATGGGTAACAAAATGAGTATAACTAGACTGGTATTTTGTAAGACAAAGCCCACAAAAAAAGACAAAGACCTCTGTATAATATATAAGCACAGTATAAACTGTAATTACCTTTCTGTGGAGGGAATACAAGAGATTTTTGTTTTCTTCTTTGGGCTTTTTAATAATTTCCAAATGCCAATTGACATGCATTATTTGGGTCAGATAATAACAGTTTAAAGTTGGATAGTGGAATTATGGGTGAATTCAGGTGTATTATATACTGTTTGTTTTGTAATTTTCTTTAAAAAAAAATCGCTTAACTCCTAAATACTCTTATTGAGACCTTTTCTATAGAAGAAAGTTTTTTAATAGGGGAGGAAATTATGAAGATATTCACAATATTTCATGATAAAAACATTAAGTGCCAAAAAATCCAGAAATGAGAACATAAATGGATAAATAAATCCATAAGGATGTCCTAATTTGCGGATTTCCTTCTAAAATATCACATCAGGAGGCTAATTACACAGACTTATTTGAAACCTAGACTAAAACATCTTTCAACTACCACTCCCATATTTATGTACTGATCCACAGTACTCGTCCATGAAAAACTTTTCCAGGTGGCGCCCACAATTCTAAAGATTGTTACAGACATTAAAACTCACCTCAGTAACACTTTGGGATATGTCACTGAGATGTCCTGTTTTCTTCAGCACAACTGCCAAAAAAACCCAATAGGTTGTTAAATCACTCAACCATTTTCTAGTCTTGAGCCACACTAAGTACCGCAATAGGGTTTGAAACAGATATTGAAAATATAATTAACTAGATAAGTGTAACTAGGTCACTCACTAGAAATACCGACATACATTTCGCTTTAATGATTGTTTACATAACAGTGAAAAACCAGTTATGAATAAGAAATTGACCTTGCTTTAGTTACGAAGTCCTCTTGTTGAGTAAATTTAACTTAGTCCACGTGCATTACCGACAATGCTTCACATTTTCTTAATTATGTCATTCTTTAAAACAACTTGTCAGTTAATATTCCAACTCCAATATTTAAAATATGGAAGTTTTTGTTTCATTTAACAGAACAAAAGCTGTTGCTTAATAGAACAAGATCAACGTCTGTCCTATTGGGGAGGTCCTTTTAGCTAAAATGTTTTCAGCCCCTGCGAAACCACTGTTACTTCCTCCCCCAAAGTAGCATAAGCCTCTTGCAGTGTGACACAGATGCATGTCTAAGCTCACAGTAGCAGCGTCTGTGCTGGCAAGGAAATTCCTCAGGATTCCGAAAGCCACAGCTTTCTAGTTTCCTTATAGCTCTATCGCGTGAGGAACACGCGGAAATACTTCTCCCCACGCAGGATGTTTCTAAAAATCACGCCCTCCCAGTATTAATTGAGGCGGCCCAGCAGCCGGTGCCACTCGGTTGGAGAATATGGCAAGTCCCCGAAACGCACTTCCAAAGGGAGGAAAGAATGCTCTGAAAGGAGCAGAATCCACAAGATCCCTCACACTCTCGAGAAGAGCCCAAAGGCTCACCTCCAAGAAGGACCTACGAGTCCCCTCCACCTCTTTCTCTCACTCTCTCGGCGGGAGAGGAAGCCTCGCCCCCTTTCATCCCGCCCCCAACTCCCCATCCCGCCGCAGGGAGAACTTACTTTACCATGGCTGCCTACGGTCCCTTCACTTCCGGTGCCGCTGTCGCTCGAGCTGCGCCATCCCCCCGTCAGCCGGACAACCACAGACTCCAACTGACCTTTTAGACACTTCTGCGGCTCCTCCGAGCTTCACTAGATGCCGTCCTGGAGGAAATAGTGCATGGATGCCGCACTAAAATAAATCTACCTGTTAAAGACTCCGCTCCCTTTACTCCAGAAACATAAAATGCGATAGAGCTGCGGCCACCGCTGCCGAGACAAAATGGCGCCGAGAAGTCGGTTTAGCGCAGGCGCCTTAGAAAGACCCTGTCCCGCCCCCGTGCAAGCTCCTGGCTGCAGTTCTGGGTTCCGTTTCCATGGGACACAACACCGCCAATCCTGGTGCCGAACTGCTCTTCCTGACCCCTCAATTCACCAATCAGTGCTCAATCAAGCACATCCGGAGTTGTCTCTACCAATCATTTCTCAGGATTTGCTTACTCAAGAACCGATTCCCCAATAACGTTGGTCTTCGCAGACAGCCAATCATAAGTGGAAGGTGTCCTACCTGCTGTTTGTCGCACCAATCCGTGAAGTTTCAGAGCTACATCCAATGAGGACAGCAGGTAGCGCGCTCCAATCCGAAACTCCTCGGCGTCATGAGCAGCCAATAGGAGTTCGTGTAGAAGCGAGTCTGCTCAACAGCTTGTTATTTGGTGGATTGTGGCAGTAAATCGGGGCGAGTGGGGAACCGGGCGCAGGAACTGCCGCCAGGGCCGGGAGTGGTTCTGCCCGAACGGGGGCCCACGGGGGTCAGTAGGGTGGAGGACCCGGGAGCTGACAGCGCGCACTTCACCTGCAGTTGGTAGGTGCGGAGAAGGGAAGCGGGGGATACTGAATGGACGAAGCGGCAGTAGCAGCTGGTGCTGCTGCCCGGGGTCCCGGTGCAGTTGGAAGCTTTGGAGGCGGTGAGGGGGATGCTAGGCAAGCGGTGCAGCGAGCGCAGGGGAAGGGGCAAGTCGTGCAGCAGCAGCAGCAGCAACTGCAGGAACCACCGCCGCAGCCGCCTCCTCGGCCGCTTCCCCGGGTTCCCCGGGAAAATGGCTGTGGGGCTGGCCGCGCCGCTAAGTTTGCTCCCGCGCGGTGAGGAGCGGGCTGCTGGGGGGAGCCGGCCCCCAACTCCGCGGCGCGTCCTCCCCTGTGGACTCCGTGGCAGGACCCGAGGGGCTGGGGGCTGGTACCTCTCTGGGCTGTACAAAAAGTTGAGGCGGGCGCAGGGAGGAGGCGGTGGCTGCCGCTGTGCGGCTCCCCTCCCCTCCCACACCCTGTCCGGGCCACCTCCCCTCCTCCTCTCCGCCCCCCCGTCCCCTTCTCCGTGCGGGTGTCCCCTCGCGCCCGCGGCTCGCTGTTTAAGGCCGCGGCCCCTGCCCCTTGGGGTGAAGGAGCGCTTCTCCTTCCTGACATGGTGCAGAGCCGAGGAAGGAGAGCAATGGCGCCGTGACACTCCGCTGCCGCCACCGCGGGCCCGGGGCGGGCCGAGGGGGGCCGAGCAGCGGAGGCGGGGCGCGGGCCGAAGTCAGGGTATCTGGGGGGCGGCCGAGAGAAGGCCCGGCGGCCGCTCCTGTGGCGGACCCAGGGAAGCCCGGACGCGCCCTGCCCTTTTCCAGAGCGATCCGTCCTGGGACTCCGAGTTGAGCATTCCGGGTCCAAGTGGCCAACGGGGCGGGGGCACGGTGGGCCGCTGGCGAGCTCGGGGCGGAACGGGTTGCCCTTTGGCGCGCGTGGGTTTCTTGCTGTCCCCTCTGCTCCCGCTCCCTCGCTGCCCTCGGAGGGGGTTTTATCCCTTGGCTGGTGAAGATTCTGCCCGTCCCCGCTGGCGTTTGTTTACTTTCTTTCCCTGGGTCGCTTCCCGCTGTTGACTGATTCTGTGCCTGTCTTTCCCCTCCCCATGGTTCTAGCGACAGCGAAGATAGCTCGTTGAGCTGGAACCCAACAGATCACCAGTAAAAATGAAGGTAAGTGGAGTCAGTGCTGCTCTGAACCTCGTGCCCTGGACACTGCCAGTCGTGAGACTGGTGCCGTAGAATGTCATTTTTTTTTTTTTTTCAACTACTCAAAATTGGTTTCTCTACTAAGCAGCACTTTCAGAAAGTGAGGATGTGTTGAATGGTGAGAAATGATCTGTGTGTCTAAATGTAGTCAATTTTGACCCTCTCTGTAGCAGTTAGCACTTTGGAAAGGCTGGTGCAGCCTTTCAATTGTTGTCCCTTCGGCTAGTATTTTTAAATACTTCCTGTGTTGGCAGCAACCTTTGCAGAAATAAAGCTTTTGCCCTGCTTTGGTTCTTTGGGGGATTTTTTGAAAATTTTTTCTTCCTCAGCACCAGTGCGGTTTTCTAACAAAGAATATGTGGATTGAGTAAGGGAGATACTTATTTCTCCTGGGGATATAACGACCTTATGTGGCTAAAATATTTGAAGTCGAACTAAACTAATAATGGTTACTTAAATCTTTACAGTAAATATTTTAAAAGATAATTCATTCAAAAATATATATTCTTCTGAAGGCAAGTAATCTTGCAAACATCAGTGTGTGGATGTTTAAAGGGAAAGGAGGGCTCATAGCATTCTGGAATACTGTAGCCATTGAATGTATCACGTCAGATATTTGTTTGCCAAAAGTATTCCTCTTCAATTTACATTGTTTTTAAATGCACTGACTTTAAAAGGTACCTGATCTCTGTCTTATTTACTGTTTCAGTTTATTAAACTCTGAAATATAGCATTCTCCCAAACTTTCTCTTGCTTTCCTATTTTCTTGAAGTGACACATCTAAGCTGCTTTAATATAACTTGGGAAAACTTATTCGAAAAATATCCTAAAGTGTACACTGTTACCTTTGCATTTAGCCGTGTTGAATTGAACTTGCATGAATACACTTAACCTTTGAAAAAAAATAGGTAAAATGACAGATTGAGACAGTAATGATCCTGTTACTGTCAAGATTAAAATGAATGGTAGAATTAAATTTCTCACATTTTTCAGTGTATCATTCTGATTATGGCCATTTGCTAAAAGAAGACACTGCTTAGTAAAGCTTATTTTTTTATATATACCAAGAAGGTTAATGTGGTATATTAGGTGTGGCTACTATTCTTGAGCCATCAGTTTATATCTTCATTCATCAGCTGAATTCATATTGAAATTTCCAGTGATACTCTTCTTATCAAAAGGGTTGTCTTCATTTCTTATCTGAGTAGTTACACTCTATCCAAAAAGATAGAACCTTAATGTAGCTGTATCAATAAACATTTAATTATGTATTGTTGTTATTAATTTTAATAGTGGTGTTTCTTTTAATCTGAAAAAAATTTTCAGGAAGCCATAGATGAATAACCCAAAGTTTTATGAGACATTTAATATGAATATACTTTTTCTGTTTATTCTTATCTTTCCATTCCTTATATATAGAATTATTGAAACATTTTATAGGGGAAAAACATTTTGTAGGGGAAAAACTATTATGTTTCCTTATTGGTAATTTCCAGTTACAACTTTGAAACATTTTATGGTATCCAGACATTAGCATATAAAATGAAGTGTTGTTAACAAAATATTTGCTTTAGGGGTATTTTTCAAATTGTAGACAACATTAATAAGCAAATAATTTTAAATGTTCTTATTACTTGAAATGCAGAACCTTTTAAGAAGAGTTGAGATTGGAGTAGGGATGAATAGTAGTGACATGCAAAGTTTATGTTCCTTTCATCAGGCGGCGGATGAGCCTGCCTACCTGACAGTGGGAACTGATGTCAGTGCCAAGTACCGAGGTGCCTTCTGTGAGGCAAAGATTAAGACTGTGAAAAGGCTGGTGAAAGTTAAGGTAATATGTTTATTTTTTAATGCAAAAGTATTATTAACTCTGGATTGAAGAGAGCTGGGAGGGGGAGACTACAAATCACCTTTTTATTTATTGAATTATTACTATATGAAAGCATTGTTATATACTAAACTTATAGGACTAGCACATTAAGAATTGAGAAATGAAGAACTCAAAATGAGAAATTATTCCACATGTTCCTTTCAAAATATCATGCTCATGATACTTCTGATCATTCAGATCTTTCCTGTTTGTTGTAGAATATTTACTTAGGCTATAATCTATTTTCTCCCCTTTCAGAATGTTCAGATAGAGACAATTTCAGTGATTAGGAAAAACTGAATGGTGGTAATTATATTTTCAAGGCAGTGTTAAAAATGATTCAAAAAGTATATTTTTAAGATGCTTTTATGATTAGAAAAAAGTTAAAACATTCCTGTACAATATTTAGAAATATTGAAAAGGACAGATGACTTTGTACCCATAGCTAACTTCTTGGAAACCTCAGTTTTTAATTTCCTTTTAGTAATTTTCCTATATAAATATGTTCTGAATAATCTTTGTTATTGAGATACAAAAGTAATTTATGCTTATTATAATATTTTTAACATTATAGAGCTATATAATATAGTTCTTGAAAGTTCTCCTTGATACCACTCCAAAGAGATTTGGTGTGGTTTTCAGATTTTTTTACTGTGCTTGTCATAACATTATTGTCATTCTTATTATTATTGGATCATGCTGTACATGTAGTTTGCAGTTTGCTTTATTCATTTACATATCTGATGTTTTCCTACCAGAATTAAGCACCATGAAAAGAGGAAATGTCTCTGACTTGCTCTATCCCCAAAACCTGGAGTAGTGCCTGATACGTAATGGGCATTTAAAATTTGTTGAATTAGGGCAGTAATTCTCAAAAGTGTGGCCTCACACCAGCAGCATCAACCTTACCTGGGAACTTATTCAAAATGCAAATTCTTAGCACCCCCCTCCACCCAGACCTACTGAATCAGAAACTCTGGGGTCTGGTAATGGTGTTTTACCAAGGCCTCTAAATGTTTCTGATGCATGTTAAAGTTTGAGAACCACTGAACTAGAGGAGAGTGATTTGTGTGGTAGATAAATAGATTTATCTGTGATTATTATAAAATTTCTGTTTAGATTTGATCTGCTGATGATACTTTTCTTCAAGCATTATTACAATGTCATTTAAAATTTATTTCTTCCTCTTTATTTTGTGTAGCTTTTTGGTGATGTCAGCTATACAGGATTTGATTACTAAATATTTGGGATTCTTTGACAATTTTAACTTTTTGTCAGTATTGTGATACTTATTTATTTATTTAAAATCAATACAATAATTGTTTTAGGAGGTCTTATCATACATACATTACCTAGAATTTGAACTTACTTATTTGGGTGATTGCTCTACCACG